AGCATTGTCTTTTTTTCAAGTGCACATTCTCCAATTATCTTACTTGAAGAGTAAAAATTCCTTCGATTAGCAAATCATCTTGTTTACCTACTCAGATTAAGGGTAAATACACTTAATTTAAGAAATGTTTACTTATTTCTAGATGGCTTTTTTGCAGTGTGGGAGTTAGCTTTTACCTAAATACAGAATTGTATTTAATTAATACATCTTTAGTCTTTAAATGTAAAACTTGCAAAAATGACAGATTAATGGGTGGGTCGGTGGAGACTAATCCAGACTGAAAGGCTGAGCTTTATTCTAACATTGCCAAATTCTTAGATCCAGAAGAAAAATTAAAGGTAAACCTTAAATTTACTTAGAACTAAGCTCTTACTTGTTTTGCTTTTACTTTAAATGTTTGAAGAAGATTGATGAGATAAAATTGTTTCAAGAAGTGAAAGAGATTTACTCTCCCAGAGTCAGCTTTGCAGTAAGTGATTAACTTTTTCATCCAGTCAGAATCATCAAACAGAAGAACATAGAAGAGAGGGAAAAAAAGCAGGCTAAAAGGACAAAGCAACACTCTATTCTACAAACTTTTATTTCATAAACAAGTCTTCCATGCTTAATGACTGCAGTCAGAAAAATTTAAAGCCCTGAAATCTCCACAAGATAGTGTGTGACAAATAAAAAATGCATCACACATTCTCCTGCCCAAAGCAGGACACATAAATAACGTGCATAATGAAGATCCATCCATGTGTGATTGTGACTCATCCAGTTTGCAAACTGAAGTAAAACATCACTACTCCTGCTCCTCTTACTGTTTCTCCAGCCAAAGTGATGATATTTCATATTTGGCTGGGGATCTGGCATGATTAAATCACTGAGTAATTATTCATCTTTCATTTAATCTTTCATTAAACACTGTTGTAGAACAACATGAGTCATGATCTGTACTCCATTCAGACAGAACATTTGGCTGAAGCAAGGGATAGATGAATACATCACATTAGAAGAAAAGGTGGAGTGGAAAAATGAAAGCACAAAAATAGAACGCAGCAACTGATGCCATCTGATTTATTTGTTAGATTACTGAAGCAAATAAAAAAAGGAAAATAAGGAATACAAATATAAAGCTATTTTCCAGCTCATCTAGATTATGTCAGTAAGACTTTCTGGAAAAGAGAATACTGCTCCAGCACATTGAACAGAGAGAAATCCATCTATTTCAATATGTAGAGATAATAACATGATAATAACATGGCAGTCATTTATTCCACTCCAATGGTGGATAATCACTGGTAATTTATTATATATATAACAGAATAATGGACCACCAGCTCTAAAGCACCATGGTTAACTCCTATCTGCTGTTAGTTTTTATGGATTAATGTAGTGGATTAAGACGCCCCCTATTGGTTCACAGTTATTATCACAAAATCTTAAACAGCAGCTTTGCAGTTCACACATTTCACACTTGAAATCTTAAAATAAAAACAAAAACTTAAAACATTTAACTGTGCATTTGGAAACGGATTGATTATAGTCTCATTTATTTTAATGGGGAAATGTAAATTTTACTTAATACAAAACTGCAAAGGTCTCCTCCTACTTTAAATAAACATGTTACTCCCTTAGACACAAACCTGCTGCCAACATTAATTAGGCCCCAGATTTCAACAATGCAATATGTATCTTTAAGTTATTTATTTTTCTGCTGTCTACCACCAGCGCCTCCTCATCAATATACTAATGAGATCTCAGGAGAGTTTGTTTTCAGGCCATCTCAGTGTGCAGCTACACTTTGGTTGAGCATAAAAGCTTTTACTGTAGGTCCCAGGATATTTTCTCAGGCAGGGCTATGCATTAACCTTCTTTATGTCTTTTAATTATACAGAGGAGCAGGCTGGTCCAGCTCGCCATCTCAGCCAGACACTTGTAATCTTCTCCCTTATTCTTCATGTAATCTATTAGCTAATTGGCTCGGGCATCATATGAAAAGAAAATCCAAAACGACAGAGAAAGCCACCAGTATGGTAATTGCCAAAACTTATCAGCTTTAGTGCAATATTCATTTATTCAAATCTCCTGAAAGGTATATAGACTTTCAACCAAAGTTCATTAGTTTAAGCAATATTTTTTTCTTTTTTTTTTGTTGCTTTTTTATTATAATTACACCAAATCTTTACAAGGAAGTCTATTTTAGATATTTCTTTTGGTCAATTTTGATTGAAAAAACTTACAACTAATGAGACTTTCTTTTTCTTTTCATCATATGTTAATACTACATAAGATTTTTTTTTTTTTTTTTTTTTACATCTCAAATACTATGGGGAAATACTGCAGATGTGGCAGAGGTCTAGTAGACTCTCACATACCCTATAATTGCAGCCATGAGAAAATTGTAAAGTTCTGGTTTAAGTCCCACCCCACACAGACCGGTAACCTGCTGCTTTCCCTCTACCTTACCTCTTTAGAACCTAAGGCAGGGGTGTCAAACTGGTTCCAGAAAAGGCCGAGGATGCTGCAGGTTTTCTTTCCAACCAAGCAATAGCACACCAGACTCCAGTCATTTCATAATGTCATCATGTTCAGATTGGACTCACTTGATGAGATGATAGGAGTCTGGTGTGCTATTGCTTGGTTGGAAAGAAAACCTGCAGCCACACGGCCCTTTCCGTTTGACACCCCTGACCTAAGGCATTAGAATAGCTCTAAGGGAGAAAGATGGACTAAACTGTTGCTTAGTGTTCAACTATCTGGTTTCTCAGTTACAACAAATTTCTGCATTTCATTTAGAAATCAGTTTTAACAGAGTGGAGGGATATTGGTGTTAACACTGCAGGAGAATCAAAGGCTGACTGCCACATCGCCCCACCCTAATGATGGAGCCATTCAGACAAAAATCGCACGAGTAAAAATGAGAGAATTCAGAGGGGTGAATATACATGTAGAATAAAGCGGTGATGTATTGAATGAATGAGACATTATGCACTGTTTTAGAAGTGATACAATTTTTTGGGAGATTATATGACATGATTATGCATAACAGTTCTCCCTGACTTTTATCTTCAGTATATGTGACCTTCTGTTTGCAGCTCTGTTTGACGTCTGTAACAGGAGTGCTGTGATTAATTGAATGTGAAGGTGAGACCAGGAAGTTCTTGTGGTTCTATATGAAAAAGGCTGTTATTTCCTCACCCGTTATTATTGCAACTAGATGTTTGGAGGTCTGTAGAACCTATAACCTGCTGAAGGACACTAAGACAGAAAATTGTCTATTTATTTGCAGACGTAGTATTTTTGCCACAAGAAACTTTTCAGAGGGGCAGAAATTTCTAATTTTTTTTTGTTTGTTTTTCTATTTTCTTGTGTGGTAATTACTAAGAAACTGATATTCTTAACAAATAGACCATAATTAAATTTTGTTTTTTTGAAATCAGTGAATGTATGAGTTTCATTATGTTCATTATGTTCTATTAGCAAAGAAAGAGATAACGGCACAAAATTTAGTGCATATAAGATCTGATTTATTATAGATTATCTCTTTTCCAGTAATCCTGTGATGATCACAGAATTTGTACAAAATCCAACAAAAATTAGATCAACCTCTGATAAATAAATAAAGAGCAGCAAACGAACATTAAACCACTAACATCAACCCCACATTCCTTCATACACATCTGTATGCAAAACGCATGAGAAACTCTCAAAAGTGGCTCCATACAGTGTAGATTTAGAGAAACCACCAGAAAATGAGTTCAGGTATCGTACTCAGAAATGAAAGTAATTCAGAATTTTCTGGGGCATAATCATGCTCCCATAACTAAGCTTTCTAATTAAAATGATTCGTTTTCCTTGACATGTCCCACTTGTTTTAACCCTCTTCTGAATTTATCTCAGCTGCCTTGTTGCTGGAGGGGTTGGCTCATTCATCATTTCAGCTTCATGGCATATGTTTACCTATGTGTTTTTAAAATAAATTAACTCTGACGCACTAAAGCATACAAATGAAGAGGCACAGAGAGAATTAAATGATGGGAAACAAGAAGGTATGGAAACACGTAGCTTATTAAAAATTCAATTTCTGAAATCTTGCTTGGAGCAAGACTTTTTTTTTTTTTCCCCCTTCTCCTTTCCGATCCCAAGTGAAACTTTTACTTTAAGTGGAATTCAACCAAATATTGATAAAGAGGGGCTAAATTCAAATACACAGTGGGAGGAGGTGCAGCAGTGTTGATTAACATAAAGATTCACCCCCAACTACGCTGTTTTCCCTTTGGACAAAACTTCATAAAAATAAGAACGACAGGAAATGTCCCTGTGTGCTTATTATACACAAAATTCAGCCCACAGAGACAAAATAGTCAGTATTGTAACAAACTAACAAGATAATACATTTTCTTTTTTTTAACCCAGTGTTACAGTTTTTCCACATTTGTTTAGAAAGTGATTCCTCACATTTCCGATGCTGAAAAACAAACCTCCACAAGCACTGACCAAGATGGTTCACCTACTTCTGGTAGCAGGTGGAGAGAGAGCTGACTATAAGCAACAGTGAAAGTATGGCTCTTCTTCACCAATGGATACATTCACAGCCCTGGACAGATCAAATCTGCCCCCTTTTTTCAGAAAACACATTTTTTTTACAGAAGTTCTGCTTCATCGCAGTCATCTTCAGACCCTGAGGGTCCCTGGCGGACTTCTTCGTACCACTTATTAGTCAGTGTCTTCATCTGGATCCTCCCATGTAACAAGTCCTGTGAAATGCAAGGAGAGAAGGAGATTGTAAACATTTCTATACAGAGGAATTGTCAAAAACAACATGGCTTTAATAGCTACCAATACTTTATGAAACTTTAGAATTGTTGAATTGAAGGCAGAGAGTTTATATGAAGAAAAACAGAAACATTCACATTTAGAAAAGGGCAAATGATCCCTCCTGAGGTTAAGAATCTTTTTATTGTTGGAAGAAAATGTTCCATTTAGCAATTCTTCAGCAAAGCGTGATTAAACCTGCAAGTAATAACCTTTACAATCAAGATGGCCTGGAAGACATTAAAAGAATGAAAATGGGACCTTGGCAAATTAAAATTAAACTAAAAAGAAAAAACAAAATACAGGCTTTAAGAGAGTTCATAATAGCAACTTATGTATTGCATCATACTGACTTAGAAGTCATTGCAATGATTGTCCTTTTCCTAGAATTTTGCCATTTGAGATGATGCTAATGTATTCTTATACTAATCCAATTATGAACTACGAAGAATAACACAATGGTGGTTCTTAGAAATAATATAACATTGTGGGTCATTAATTCTTTAACAGATAATAGTGTTGAGCCATTTCAACTGCAAAGTGGTTAGGAAAATAAAGCTAGCCGCAATGAGATGGTCTGGGATTAATGGAGCGAAATATCAAAGAAGGTCAGCTTCTGACAAACTGGTTAGTTTCCCTTTTTCTGAAACTTTTAGGTTAGTTATATAGCATCCCTTTTTGCTGCTTTAAACTAGGTCAACAAGGAGACCTTTGCTCAAGAAAACCAAGCTCTATCTTCAGTTCAGCACATTTTCTTCTAAGTTGTGTGCCGGTGTTATCAGGGAGACTGACTGTCACCTGTCCACTGATAAAATCCCACATAGACAGCCGATGGGAGGACGAAACCACAAGCATGTACCCCCACAAGACCAAATGTGACTCAGCATTTAGTTTCTTCTGTTTTACGAAGCTTCAATGAAAAGTTTATTAAGAAGAAAGCAAAACAGATTACCCTTTAAAAGATCTATGTGCTTTATAAGTATAAAAATATGCCTAAATTAAGTCATCTCGTTAACTTTACTCCTCACAGTTGTAGTCGGAAGCAAAGAAAATAAAATTTCTGGGTTTTAATACAAACTTTAGAGGTTCATGGCGACACTTATTTGTGCTATATCAAAGTTAAATAATTATATATTTTAAAGACTTTGATTTTGAAATGTAGGTAGGTAGAGCAAAACTTTCTTTTCTGTTCATTCCTCCAAGGTTGTCACAGTGTTATTTAGGGATTAACCACCCAATTAAATCCTAATCCGATGAGTTATTAATTTTTTTACTCTATGTTGTTCAATGCTAGAGTAAGTTGCACATTTCAAAATTTCTCTTGCACAGCTGGCAAGATGCTCATCGAGGATGTTTCAGTTCATCCTTTATTATTGATAGCAGAGTCATTTTAGGGTAATGCTGTGAGAGAGCTCACTCCTTTGGATGAAATTTAAACTACAAACATGACTGGTGTCCTTACAGTATTCCTGTTTTCTTCTCCCAAATGATGTTAATCTTATGAAATCTGCATCGGGGCAAATACCTTTACCCCAGTCCTCTGCATTCCTTGAGCTTTGTTCAAATCTATTTAGATGTTTTTTTTTTTGTTTTTTTTTTTTTCAGAAAGGTAGATTCTTAATGGCTCAAGCTGTACTTTATTGTAAACTCAAAAGCATTCTTCACAGCATTTGAAACCGTCCTCAGAATATTTAGCAACAATACAATAGCATGCACACTTCTTTAAAAGCACCACTTCTCTTTTGTGGGCAACTATTATTCTAATTTCATTGAAAAAGAGGCTTTTCTGCTCCAGTCAACTGCCAAGTTTGTCTTCAAAGACTTCCATTTACTATGGAAGGGTTTTCATTAGGTTGATAATAGTTATTTAGATATAGTTATGAAAAAAAGGGTTTGCTGTGATAACAATAAACTGCAAACAGTCTCAAACTCAAGTCGTCAGAGGACAATATCCTGCAACTTTAAGCTTTGCGTTTGCTCGAAAAAAATTGATTCAAAAATTAGCTCATTAATTCTTATTACTGGGACCTTTATATCAATTTTTAGATCAGTTTTCAGACTTATTATCTGATGATCATGCCAATGCTGAAGGTGGAAGCAGCATTTAACTGTATCTTGGACTAGATTTCTAGAGTTTCTAAGTGTAATTGCTAGCTTTGCTCAGGTTATCCTGACCTTTCTCTAGAGCAGACATCCCCAAAGTCGGTCCTGGAGGGCCGCTGTCCTGCAGGGCCGCTGTCCTGCAGGTTTAAGAAGTTTCCCTGCTTTAGCACAACTGATTTTGATTATTGCAGTTCAGCTAAAGCCTGTTAATCAGCTATCAATGTTAATCAGCTGTGTTGGAGCAGGGAAACCTCTAAAACCTGCAGGACAGCGGCCTTCCAGCACCGACTTTGGGGATGCCTGCTCTAGAGTAATGCTGCTATAGGCTTAGGCTGCTGGAGGACATAGGGACCACTTTTCATCATTCTGTTTCATTCTGTACCTGAAGTATTTTTTTAGTTCAGCCCCTAACTTTATGCTCTCTCTGCTTTTTGTTATCTGGTCTTTTGCCGTTTGGCTGTGATACCATCCTGGAGAGAAATATCAGCTGTGCTGCTGCCATCAACACCTTCCATAATAGTTAGACTTGTTTTTCTGTGTTTAATCCTGTTTCTCTTAAACATAGCTATGGGCTCAGCTTTTACTGGGACTAAATGTATGCAGTCTCTCGAAAACTGCCTCAGAGCTTGTCTGGTTTAACCGTTTCTTTCCTAGACAGAGCCACCTGTGGAGCCAGTTTCTCGTTACCTTTGCTAACATAGAAAGTATTTATGGATCAGTTCTTCTATGTCCCATTAGTTTGTCTTCTTCTCTCTCTTTGAACTCCGAGTCAACATTGGCAGAAGGTTTCTTCCTATTAAAAGATTTTTCCTCCACTGTCACTGCATGCATGCTTGTTGTGAGGGATTGCTGTAGAGTCAGCAACAAAAGGCAAGAAAATATCTACTGTCGTATGCTTATCAAAGAGGAGCGTGTCCTGCAAAGTCTTTCGATGCAATCAGATAGTTTTCCTTTGAAAACTTCTAACTAATCTGGCTGTATGATCTATTTGAACTGTCTATGTAAAGTGCTGACATGGTTACATGATATGGGTTGTTATTTGGTACTATATAGATAAACTGAATTGAGCTGAATTAATGCTTAAGTGCATACGTAAGGCACTTTAATCATATGATTCAGGTGTGTAGGACAAGCCTAAAAGTTTAGGACACTGCCCTTGAGGACTTAATAATAAATAAATAATAATAATAAATAATAATAAATTAATAATAAATATCAGAACATACTTAAAACCTGAGTACATTTTGCCAATATACCATGAAGAAGATTACAATGAATGGTTATAATTATTAATGGAGCAATATTAAATGGTTGAGAATTAACGGTAGCTTGTAATTTCTTTTTTGGCAGCTGGTCATTTCTTTTTGCTTGAAAACATAATTTTTAGAAGATGGGAGAACCTGTAACACTCAATCTAAAATAACTAAAATAAAAGTCAATATGTCACTGCTCCACTAAGTATTAATTTAATTGCAGTCTGATTACAATTATTCAACCCCGCATGAAGAAATGACTTTCCTCTTGATACAAAAGCCCCAGATGTTGGATATGTCGTGGATTCTAGGCAACATAATTCTCTGCAAATTCAATTTTCTTACTTATACAAATATTTTGTGAATTAAGACTAAACTAAAACGAATCACACAATAAAACTGTGATTCAAACTAAATGACATTTAAGCTCAAATAATTTGAAAAATGTTAATCGAGAATGTGCTTTCAAGATAAACACTGCTCATTAATGCTTTCCCTAAGCTATTGATTAGGTTTTTAAAGTTATGCTGGCAGGGTTAACCATCAGTGCAAATGAGGTTTTTGAGATAAAGTTCAATTTCATTAACTTTGCAATAAATAGAATTTTATCTGATTACTTTTTAAGGCAACATGGAATCAATGCAAATTTTACCCTAAAGCAGTAAAAGCTGTGAGAAACAAGACATGTCAGTGTGCATCTCTTAGAGAAAAGCACGAAAAGGAATACCCAAAGGGTGGAGGTCCTTAGCAGTCAGATCCTGCTTTAGGCGGATTATTACACTAATGCTATTAATGCTACGAGGCTTTGGGATTCGATGTTTCAGTCTTCTGGAATAATGCTACAATAAATGACTAATTTAACCTTATTAGCTTACTAAAGTCCTATGATGATATGAGCTTCCTATACTAAACCAACTGTTACCTCCAAGTGTCTTTTTCTGTATCTCAGTACATACTGTATGCAGAGACATTATTAAAAGAATCAAGAAGGTTATTTTAAAACGATAAAGCAGAGGAATAATGAACCTTGTAGTCATGCAATTTGTGGCGCCCATGTTTAGCAACTGCATAGAGGCAAGCTGTCCAACTCTGTGTGATGTACATGCATTTTTAATGCCTAGGTGCTTCTTTGATTAACTGATGCTTTGATAAGTTTTGATGCCAATTCTGTGCATCACACTCACAGGCGAATATGCATTACATAACCTCTTCCTTTGTGAACACAAACTACATCTTACACAGTGGTAACATGAAAATCTGATTCTTTTGAACATGAGTTGAGCTCCATTCCTCAAGGGCTGCTGTTGAGCAACTTTTAGATTCATTTTTGCCTTTAAACAACAGTCAAACAGTCTTTAACAGAACTTTAGAGAGTTTGACTTTTATATTGAGGAGGTAATTCAGTCATTTGATTTAGGTGTGTGGAAGCAGAAGCACTTAAGGTGCAGGACGCCGGACCTCAGTCTGAGACAGAAGACCCCTCGTCAAGAGAAGACAATCTGTACAACAATACAATGCAATTTATGGCTGTATGTATAATAATGAAATAATAATTATGTCAAAAAAGGTGATAAAAGGAGAAAATAAATGTAGCTAAGTGTTCTGACAATATGCTAAACATAAAACAAAGTGAATTTATGTTGTGTTTTTTTTTTTTTTTTCTCATACCAACCACTCAAGGCAATTGACACCAGAGTGCGAATTCATCCATTTGCACTCGCAAATGAGCATGCATTCATACATGGATGTGAAGATGTGTGGGTGTCGTTAAGTGCATTGGCTAGCAGAACATCAAATGCGGCAGGAAGAAGCTAAAATTTAACCCACAACTGTCAACAATTATTAACCCCATTTTCAAAATATTTTATTTAAATAAGTCCTATTTGTACATGTACACCAGAAGAGCCTTAAAACGTACATTACGTTAAGCCAAGCAGCCAGATGAGCATCACTGCATGTGGTAAAACAATGGCTGTCACTTCTTAAGGAAAAAAATAAATACTGAACATAATGATCCTTTAGTTTTCTTACCTCTTGTGTTAATCTGCGAGTGAAGAAGGGGTTAAGATACTTTGCATCGAGCCACATGAAGCCCTTCAGATCTTGTCTCTGGTAGATCTGAGCCTCATATTCCTCCTCTGTCAGTTCTGAAAGGTGCTCTGTATCTATGGTGTTACCCTTGAGAAAAAAAGCCAAAGAGAAAGAAGGTAGTTGGGCATATGGAAGAAAGAAAAATGGGACTGACCCTGTAAATAAGGCTGGAATGAGAAGCAAAGCATGAGAGTGAGCTGGAAATAGAGTTAAGGTTAAAAATGTATAAGGTCAATGTCACAGAGAGACGCACGCAGACAAAGATTAGGGACCAACATCTGATTTAAGCACAGTGTAGGGGTAATGAGGGAAAATGAGAATTTCTTTTATCTGGAAGCTGATACCACAGGGGGAATTCTTGGCTTTGCAAACAGTAGAGATATAAGTAAGGCAGAGACTACCGAAAGCTGACAGTGACCCCCAACAGTAGACAGTACATCAAATAAATGATCCATTATCTAGAGTTGGAGCCAACAGAGCAAACTGAAATATTAAACACAAAAGCTTGTCTTCTGGTTTCTGGGAAAACTGTATTGATGCCAGGGAGTGCGTCTATGTGGGGAGAGAGCTTTGTTCCCTGCTGACTCAGTGTCCTTCTCACAAAGCCACAATCAGCCTCTTTGATGTTTCCCACTCGGTTTCAAGCAGAAAGGGCCTGACTGCAGATGAGAGTTTGGCACAGCTAGAATCGACTAAGAAGGCAAACGTTAAACCACAGTGCTGCTTTGATTTCTTTACCATTTTCTGCGTCTTGCTGAGATTGACATCCTTCTTGTTTTTGCGGCGTGACTGGCTCTCCTCAATGTCCATAATGCGGATGAGCGGCATTGTCCCGCCCCCAAGGAAGAGGATGGTAAACAGCACAATAATAATGGTAGTGGTACCGATTAGCTGGCGCTTCTCAATGGGTTCCAAGCCCAAATGAAGACTCAAAGCATAAGGGATGGCGCCTCGCAGCCCTAACAAAAGAAACACAAGAAGATTTAATCAAAATGCTGCCAAACTAGATTATCTGGAACATTTTCTTCAGTCTTAAATCTGTATCCTTCTGGTTTAAACTAAAGAAGCTGGAGAAAAGTTACTATGAATCACTAAACAATCAATATAATTACAGATTTTTTATTTCTACATTTTAAGATTTTTAATCATAAATTGAAATAAAACCAGTAAATACAGGTCATTACCTGCATTATTTATTTTACACATAAAAAAAGGCTTCATCAGCAGTTATTGTTTGCAACATGGTTAAGTTCTTAAATTCATCAAACGAACTAATTCCCACATACAAAGACTCACAATCCAATGCACCTCCAGATAATAATAACATGAAACAGCAAAGCTGCTGTGCTGACACAGACTTAGCTGCAACATCCAACCTTCAGAGCTGATTCCAACAAATACTGAGTTTGACCAACAAAAAGCACGGCCAAACAACATAATGTTGGATGACAGAGATACAAGTACAAGACGATTAATTCAGATACTCGGACTCTGAATTGTAAAAATAGCCAGAGGGACTGGTTACTGAAAGCATCCACATCCATGTCTCTGCCATGTGACCTGGGCTCAGATGGCCATCCCTGTGGACGATGGCAGCACAGTCTGGCTAGAACACTGGTTACTTTTTCTGACGTTCAGAGCCAATAAGGAGATCCAGTTTAGATGGAATCCAATGGAAACACTTTAAAGACCAAAATAATTGATGAGTCGCTTCAAAACACAGATCAAGCATGCCTGCGTTAGTTTAGAACAATCAGCTGTGGTGGAAAACTCTGTTAGCAACAGCAATAAACGACCTAAATGACGACTGGAGCTGTATATGTTGAGTGAAATATATTCAAGTGATACAGGGAAGCCCATGTCACACTGTTTATTGCAAAACAATATAATATATGTCTTAACTTACTCCATTCCTGTGTTAGAGCATTATATATTAGCTGAACTGCAGTAAAGTGTGTTTTAATTTAATTTCCCTTTGGGACTAATAAACTATTTTTACATTGAATTGAATAACTACAATAATAATAATAATTTTACTTTATTAATCTCACATTGGATAAATTTATCTCAACATTTAACCCATCTCCTCTGGGAGCAGTGGCTGCCATCATGGGGCGCCCGGGGAACAGTGTGGGGTTAAGGGTCTTTGCTCAGAGAGCCAGAGTGCAGGCTGTGGGAGTGGGACTCGAACTCAGAACCTCAGGATTCCAGCTCTATGCCCTAACCACTAGGCCGCCACTAGGCTTCCCAAAATGTCAGCTGTCCTAAAAGCATTTGTTAGGTGAGCTGAGGTCAAATCAAATATAGTAATATAAGGCAAGGTAATACTTAAAAAAATATATTATTGACTGGCCTTTTATAGTAGTTAATTAGACAGAACATGCATGACAATGATCTTTATGAGTTTTAATGTGGTATTAGACTGGGACTGAACTCATCATGTTGACTTTGTTTTTCTCTAATCTGTGACAGATTTTTTTTTTCTTTAACAGCAGTAAATATTTACTAAATATTCATTCTTAGAATTGTTTGTTTACATATTTTTTAAGTTTTGTTTTTCCCATTTCTTTATAAAAACAAATATGATAACTACTTGCTTTCCAGATTCATAAACCAGATTGAAACTGTTTACTTGATTTCAGAAGAAAAGGAACTTTACATGTGTTTGTCCACAAACGTTCATATACATCATACAACAAAGTTACAGCATCATCTCACCACTAAACCACATGATGAACATCATTTTCGGTGTGATCTTGTGGTCTCTGAAGAAGTTCAGCAAGAACGACAAAGGAAAGATGTTGATCGCTCGACCGAGAAGTACCAGGAACTATAAAGAGAAACGCAGCCACTTTCAATCCACTTAAACTCACAGCTTAATTGTATGCAGACCTCTGTGACTTACAATGCACCAGATGACAAAGGATATTTCAAATTTATGTGGGAAGCTGAAGATGGAGAGGCCAAGAAAAGCAAACACACACGTCTCTGAGGAGAGAAGTTAAAAATAGTCAGAGAAAATGTCAAATGAAGAAAAAAAAGGGCACATCTAGGAAGCTAAGCAGGAAATTACTCACCACACATAAAGGCAACTGTGCGCAGAGTCTGCTGCATGAGGATTTGTGTGATCGGGGAAAGGTTGTGATGTGTGTAGTGAGACATAACAATCCCAGCAAACAGGATAGACATTATTCCTGGTGGGGGGAGGAGGCAAAAAATGAAGAATAACTGAATTCTTGCAGCTGCTTATATAAGCGGGATGACTTTTCATATCTGCACCCACCAGATAGTTTGATTCCCTCTGCCAGGCCATAGGGAATATATGCAAAGATGATCATCATACCAAACTCCAGCGATGGCGTCTTCCTCAGGTCAAAATGTTTTAGAAACTAGCAGCCGAGTTAAGGAATTTAAAACTACAATAGGGAAAACAGGTGTGCACCCAAAGCAAAGAGTAACACTCAGTTTATCATTCAGGATACAAGAGCTGAAATGAGTCCAGTCAGCGTTCCCAGAGCAGCGGAACCGAAAAACATTTTGAGGAAATACCCCAGCGCTTGAATAAATGTCTCCCAGCCTGTTACCATGGAGTTATCAGAGCTGGAAAAAAAGCCCTCTGCTGTGCTGAAAGACAGAAAAGGAGAAGCATTGATGGTGACAAAATTTACACTTAGTCTTGCAATGCCTTAGTCTGACAGTAGAGGGCAGTAAAATTCCACCACAAAGGCTGAGGGGAAAAGTGATGAGCGGATTAAAATGCTTGTAATCCAATTATATTGGCTAAACAAAAAAGGATTATTTCACATAACCCTTTCATTCATTTCATGAAGTGGAAAATAATCAAATAAACCTGAATTCTATCTGAGCCACAATTTTTATCTTTATACATCAGCACTACATTAAAAATGGGCCTACATTTTCTCCCATGTGTTAAATTGTACTTCCAAGAAAGTCCTAAAATATGGAAAATCTATTTAGTAGGAAACTGGACACCGAAAAACCAAGCAGTGTCTCAAAGATTCTGGTTTAGCTGGATATTTTTCATATCTATATAAAACTAACATTTTTTAAATCTTCCCCATACTAGCTGCCTTCGACTTCTTCTTAGCCCTTTTCTATTTCTAGTTCATTCATTTCAAAGGACAGTTCAAATAAATTGGTTGTACTGGAGAAGATTAAAAGAGGCCTGAACAACTATTGATAACAAGATAACAGGAACCTCTGAGTCACTAAAACCACATTTTAAACTAACTCGGGATAATAAAAGAAAGAAAAAAAGATTATATAATGTAAAGCTTTATATCTATTTTAAAAGTGTTAATCCTAAAAATAAAAAAATTAAAACTACAGTTTTTTTTTTTTTTTTTTATTCCAACACAAATTATCCTAGATTTTTTTTATGGTAACGATTGATATACATTATTGGTTGGTTCAAATCTAACCATACTTAATCAAACAAACAGAAATATGACGCCTTTGAATTAATAAGTCCTTTGTAATATTTACTATCAAGTTTCCGGGTAATGAGATCCGCTGCCCAGCTGCTGTAGACCAGCTTGTTTGACTGTAAAGTAGCTTTCTAAGAAAAGCCACCCAGTAAGGTGTTAGTAGCAAACAAACTACCAGGTCTGTTCAGCCCATCTATTATTAATGCTTTCATTTACTCTAAAGGGGCACCCTTACTCACTCTTTAGATCAATTCCTATCATTAATCAACTGTGAGATCTGGCAGTTATTAAAGGAGCATGAAATCCAAGGACAGAGTGACGATGCCTGCAAATTGTAAATTCTTGGTTTCTATGAAACTCGTCTGACGAGTTTCTCTCCATGGCTCAGTGTTTACTGATAAAGTCTAAACAGTCTGAGTGCTCTGAGTAGGACCTCTAAACAGAGAAAACTTGTTACACGGGTATGCAAATCACTTTATCTCTAAATATCTTTTGAAAGCTAAATAGAAAATAAACAAATAGAAAAGCAATGGAAAACTGAATCTATGTGAGTCACAGATACTCTTTTGAACATTAAAGCAAATGAACTTTGTGCTGGTGACAATGTGGTTGAGTCAAAGTAGGGCTGTGTCAGGGAATTTTAATTAGCTTAATCTTTTGTTTTTAGAAGAGAAGATAATCTAAGCCACAGTTCCTTCTTCTATCATTTCTTCCTGTAACAGTTTAATATGTAATCCTAAAGAACCAGATGGGGTTAACAAGGTCAACAAGAAAACCTGGACAACCTACGGTATGTTTGCGTTCACTGGATCCAAGCAAATACAAGATATTAGATTAGAACAAAACACAGTATCAGGTAAACGGCAGGTTGATTTTAAATAAACAGTTGACCTTAAAGTACTTCCTGCTGCAGGCCATCCAGAAAGGGCTTCTCAGGTGATGACTGTTAAATTAATCTTATCAGGATGTACAAGGATGTTACTGTTTTGACCAAGGTACAGTACGGTAATTAAACTTACCCCCATAAGAGTTTGCTCACATACGCAAAAAAAAAAAGAACAATCATGTTAATAATTCACTCCTTCAGCTATGTGGTTTTGATTCATAGTCACTTGAAATGTTGCCGTTTCTAAATAACAGCAGCATGACGTAAAACAAAGCAACCGACACCTAAGCAAGTTCCCGAAAGCAAGATGTAACCTCATTTAAAGTGAATGACAGGAGTGACGTCTGTAACCTGAACCATGTATGCTACATTAATTATTATAGGGTTAACCCTCTCCTAGAGCCTTGAGTAAATCAAATATTTTCTTTAAATATATAAAGCTGAAAAGTCTGTTCTTTCTTTGTTAAGTGTCTGTAACACCTCTATCTTCTAAACTGATATGGGACTGGGCTTGGACTGGGTCATTCGGGCATCTCAATATGCCTTTACATAAGCCTTTCCATTGCAGTCCTGGCTCTATGACTAATGGCTTTTTTTTCTAAAGGACAAACTCTTCTAAATCCTCAGGGATTGCCCCATTTTTACCTGCAGCCATATTCCCATAAACTCTCACCAGCTTTCTAGTCAATGTAAGAGAATAATCCTTCCAACTGCATGATGCTGCCAAAACCGTATTTCACTGTGTTGATGTCATACTGAAGGTAAAGTGCAGTGTTAGTTTTTGATAATAGATTATGTTTAGTACTTTTATCCCTGCACTGCTTGTGCTGAAGGACTGATTTTGACAGTGAAAATCAACAGATTCTGCTAAATGATCTCTGTAGCTCCTTTCAAATTACTAAGGATTTATTTGGCTGTTTTTTTTATTAGTTTTTGCTAAAACACCCTGTCCAATTATCTGGGCGGCCGCATCTTGATTAGTTTGCTTTTAGCCTAGTCTCTTTTTGGCCCACATAAAAGAATAAACCGTAAGCAATCTAACCTCTGTATGAATATATCTGTTTGCTAGAGGTTTGGTAGAGACCTTGACTAAACAAACACAATAACCTAAATAAAGTGACTCACTAGTCAAGCCAGGGTGTGTGTCACTAGGTCAGGTATCCAGGCTTTGAACATTTTACAGATCAGAGTGAAACTACAAACCCACCAACACATTGGCCTCCATCTAAACATGGGGTGTGGCAAACAAGTAAGGATACATGATATCATAGGCAGGTTACAGGTATTGGCTGCAAGCAGCTTTAAAACTAATAATCAGTCTTTGGCCAATTCACTAATATAACTCACAGTTATAAAAGGCACTGTTTTAGTGAAAAACAGGCGACAATTACCCCTGCAGCTCCAGCTTGTAATCTGTACCCAGCTAGGCAGGTGTCTGCTACAAGAAAGATGTTGATCGTGTAGATGTTTTTGAAAGTTTCACAGACGGGTGGATAAACTGCAATTTGTAATGACTGAACAAGACAGGACCAAAAAGTCCACTTAATTAAGCTGAGTTGACTCACATCTTGATTTCTCAAAGGTTCCAGAGATTACTCTTTATAATTTTTGCAGATGTAAACAAACCTAAGTAATAGAAACCTGTGACAACATGGCTGTATTAATATAGATGGGAAAAGCAAAATAAAAGAGTTTTGTGTGAATACTGAGAGACTCTTACTTGGTGAGGACGATAGAGACGGCGTCGTTCAGGATGCTCTCCCCAAACACCAGCATGTTGAGGACTGGGTCCACGTTGAGAGCATTAAATATGGCTATAGTTGCTACAGGGTCCACGGCTGAGATTAGAGATCCAAAGGCAAAGCTATGAGGTAGTGATGGGAATAAGAAAGAGGAGGTTACACCTTGATATATAACAATGAAAAAAGAAAATGTAGGCTCAGACAGTTTCAAAAACATGTTTAGCAACTTCTAAGAATGCCAGAGTACAGATAAAGAAATCATTTGTTTTTGGATTGAACCCAGAAAGCAGGTATGATTTTTAAGATATTTGCAATTTAGGCTTCATGATGTACAAGAAAAGTTAAAATATTGCTAGCAAAACTGAAACAGAAAGAAGGAACCGTGTCAGAGCTGTTCTGGCACATCCATCAGCTCATTTGTGGTCAATGTCTGGATTTACTCTGCAAATTACATCCAACTGCATAGAGTAGGTTGTGACCAATCCTACAAAAAAACATACAGACAGGAAGGCTAAAAAAAATCTATCCTTACTGGCAAGGATGCGGAAAGGGCAAACACTGCGCCAGAATACACACCTTTGACTGAGCACCAAGAAAAACATTAAACAGCCCAGACTTCCAGAGGGTGTTTGTGTTAGTCGCATCTGACTGCTTACTTGGTCGTTTAAAAAAGACTTCATCTTACCATAGGCAGTTAATTTCAGTCAGGAACAAGATTATGAAACACCATTATGAAAAGACATTTAATGTCATTATAACAACATATATTCCTGGTTTGCAGTGACACGTTTCCCACAGGAGTAGAAATTATTTTACAAATAGCTGTTTTTTAATTCATTTAAAAAAAACAACCTTACCTATCAGCCATGGTCATCTTATAAATCACATCAGCCTGTCAGAAAACATGAAAACACACAAAGACATGCTGAAACCAACCAAGAAACATCATAGGTTTTATTTATTCATTTATTTAATTTTATTCTTTTCAAAAATCAGACATGTTGGCAGCTGCATGTCTTACCTGGCCAAGGAAATAGATGCCTCCACCGACTATAAAAGCAGATATAGCCGTACCAATTACAGCAAAGAGAGTGATGGAGCCAATGTTCTGGAAGAAGTTACCCTAAATACACACACACACAAATACACAGATCAAATATTCATAAGATTAACAGTATGCAATGTCAAATAGCACTGTTATATAACATGTTGCCAGCATTAAAATAAAAAGAAAGCTGCAGTACAGGTATGAAAAGAACAAAAAATAAATCACTTTGAACACAGGAAATTGCTAGTGCCTTTAAAGCCCTGCAGTGACACTCAGCTGCTCCTTAACACCCAAAACCTTAAACATTTTGTATTGCAGTAGTGGATTCTCACGCTAGAAAAACATTTCTTGATCTAATCTAAGACTAAAGCATCACTTTTAGGTGGGCAAAGCTAATCCTACCTTTCAAAACCTTCTTAAGCCACAAAATGACTGAGGCCACACTTACTGTCACCCTAAAAAAGAAGACTATGAAAAATATATTTAACTACAATGTCTGTTATTAATGTCATTAGTTTTTAAGAATGCTAAGTAATTATTAGATGACTGCCTGTTTTCTTAATTATACACTGGCTGCACTGTTGCCTTAGATCAAGAAGGTCCCGGGTTCGAATGTCAGCACTGGGGTCTTTCAGCATAGATTTTAAATATTCTTTCTTGGTGGGAGGGCTATCTCAGGTAAACCAGCTTTCTCTCACAAAAACATGAATGTTAGATAACTGGTTACTTTAAACTGAACTTAATTATCAGTATGTGTATGGCTCTCTGCCCTGTCTGTCTCCCTGTTACCCTTTGATGGACTGGCATCCTGTCCGGGGTTTAACCAGTGGACACAGACACCACCTCCCCAAGACTCTGCAAGGAGAAGGGGTATCGATTGACAAATATGAGATAGAGCACATTTCAACTTTTTAAAAATGGGAAAAGCAACATTCAAAAATGCATTAGGATGGGGAAATAGGTCGAACATTAAAAAAGAAAAAAATCTCCAAACCGTTCAGTAATAGAACTGCAGAGAAGAGCAGAGTTCAAACTTTTACAAATGTGTGATTAGTTGCAATGTGCCAGCATGTTGTTTGGGCGGTAAGTCGGGGATAAAAACAATTTTTTTCTTATGATAAGACATGTAAAGTAATTTATAAAGTGTTGGTGTTTCAACTAAAGCCACATAATTTTGTCAGTTGGTGCAAAGACTGTACTAGAAGTGCATCGATCCAGTACCTATATGGTATATCAGCTTTAATAGTGACTAATTAACTGAATCCAATATCAGATGAATGATGCTGATTTAGTATTCTGATCCAGTCTTTTATTTATTTTTATTAATATTGTACACAGCAATCTACAGACAGTTTTATACAGCTGTTATACCTTATTTACATTTCAAAATGTTTGTTTGCCCTAAACTTTATATGGGCATGATATTTATTTTGTGTTGCTAATCTATACTTTATTTAGTGATGAATAATATTAAGCAAACCTCATTATGTGTTAATTTGTAACCTTTATTTTTTAAACCAAGTTTATGTCAAGCCTGATGCTTTCACTTACATGGCTTTTTAAGGTTTACGGTTCATTCACTGGACCGCTGCATCAGGTCTGTATTGGCTGATGTTCAGCAAAAGTTATTGGTATTGAATTAATATAAAAGAAAAATAAACCATAGATCTAACCATCTTAAGATTGAACTTATGAACAACAAACATCCTTGCTGTAGACCTTTTGTAAAACTTGGTGATCTCTGCCCTCCACCAGTTCTAGACCAGATTATTGCTTAAAAAGTAATTACCCGAAAATGCTCATCATACAGAAGCGTACATTTGTCCATGGTCAATATTATAATTAGATAGTAGGGAAAATAATGAGAAATTCAAAAGATTAGGATCAAGGATTCTATATCCTCAAAAATTGAAAAGTTACAGTACAAGCAAAGAAGGTAGAACATGTCGTTTTAAGGGAAGTTTGCCAGGAATAGTGTTTGGGATTTTGTTAAAATTATTCGTTGATGTTAAATCTTTGATGTTAAATCCTCTGAATTATTGTTTTTAAATCTGTCTGAAATTACACCACTGCATTGTTAATATCTCCCCCCGGGGTGTGGTGGGTGCTGCAAATATAAACATGGACATTGTTTGATTGCAATGGTTCAAGAACAGCAATCAGAGCTACGTATGGCTCCTAAAGTAGAGACACAGATAAGGTGGGGAATATAGATAATAACCCACAGAAACTAAGCACGCCCAACTGTATTGACTTTTAGTCACAAGGCAGCCCAGCCCAAAGCTTTTTAACGTATCATTCTTTGTGAGTAACGTGCCCATTCAGCAGGTTTCCTTCATTTTTTTCTTAGAGTCACCACTTTTTCCTGTGCAACTATGCATTTTGGTGTTATAATGCTACATTCTGTTTGCAGAGGTTCAATCTGGAAACAAAAACAAACCCTTATTGTCACATATGTCACCATACCTTGTGTAAAGAGTATCCAGATTCAAATATTATTGGGGGGAGAATCAAGAGGAAAAACATGTTGGGTCGAAACATTTCTTCCTCCTTCAGGAAAAAAAAAAAGCAAAAGGAGAAACATATTTAAAAATACAAACATTTCTTAAAGAGTATTTAGGCATCCAGATATGAGTTACATTCAAATCTAACTAATAAACAAGCAAATATGAAAAAGAAAAACTCTAAGTAGTTCTTAGCAGCCCTTTTATCTTATAAATCAGAGTCCAAAATGACTACATACACACATCAGCAACTGGGGGGGGGGGGGGGGATACCTGCCCGCCAACACATGGCTTCAACCCCATTAGCAAAACAAACAATACAAAGGGCCTATAAATTTCTAAACATATTTTCCATCTCTGAGTCTTTTATCCATTCACAAACACATACACAGCCACCCACACATGCACACAGTATCCCAGTGACCTTAGCTATGTGATTTCTGCAGAATAATGAAATCATTGTTACTCCCAGTAAAACGGGCCTGCCGCCCAGATAAGGCTTTGGCATCATGCGCTATATGCTCTGGCTGCACGTGATGCACGTGTTTTCTGTAGCAGGGCCCTTTCCGTGCAAAACGCATCCTCGTAAGATAAAAAACCAAAAGAGGTTTTGCATGTAGCGGTTATCAATATTCTTTGATCAGGTGGAAACTGACTTTGTTTTCCATCAGAGGAAGACAAAATGGCGAGTCAGTGTTCGCTGCAGCTGCTTAACAATCCCTCTTTGTTTCCTGAAAGTCAGTTTTGACAGCTGGTAGAGCCTGAATCTCAACCTCAGGAAGCCCATAAGCAGCTGGACATTACGAAAACCGCCTCTGCATTTCTAAAATAGTAGAGATGAAGATTCACTTTAATTCTGCTAAGATTTATTCATTTGTAAGCTAAAAATCCTAAAGCAAACCTTTAAAAATCTTTTAACTGATATCAAAATTAAAAATAAGGTTTAAGGGCTTATCGTTGCCATATTGCAAAAACTCTGACCAGAGCAGCATTGAAGGTTTTCTAATTTATACATTAAGGTAACACTGCTTTACAGATTATGGCTAATGAATGAAACAGAGGTAGAACATCAGAGTACATTGGACAAAACTCTCAAACACATCTTTATTTTCCAGTTAAAGCACTCAGTAGCAGAGAATGTATACTGAGGTAAAAGGATAAGGTCTGACAGTTTGTCGGCTAATAATGTATTCAAATTTCAGGAAAAGTAGGCCAACCATTGCTTCCAGGTTGGCAAATTCAATGTTCGTAACTTGACATTTATCTCCGCCAGAGCTCCGCCTTTCAGTCCAGCTTACTACCACGCATAGAAGAGGATGCGCCGTGCATGAACTGCAACTTGACATCTGCAGCTGCACTCCTGCTGCATGCATGGGTCCACATGTTTCCCTGTCACATACAGGAAAGTCCACTGGAGTGACGAATCAAACGCATAAAAACATCTTCTCAAATAAGCGCAGAAGATTGAGTTTTGAACATATATGTTTGACAAGCAAGAAAACCTAAATATTTCTATATTAAAATTCTTTATCAGATTTGGCTCTGTTAGGATTAACAATAAAAGTGAGACCAAATGGGGGAAGTAGATAAGTAGATAGCCTCTCACAAATGAGAGAAGAGTCTTAACATTTGTAAATATTTTACTATATCTTTTCATCAGATGACAATAAAGATATAATACTTTGATATGACGTAAAGTAGTCAGTGTACAGCTTGTATAACGGTGTTTCATTTCCTTTAATAGTGATTTAGGCTGTAAAGGCTGCTGTGGAGGGTTATTTTTAAGGGACAATAAAACTTAAACTGCCTACTTTATATTGTAACAAAGTGTGATATCTCCCTGTTGCCTCATAAAACAATCTAAGACATTAACAAAAATGTGGGGGCTGTACTCTCTTTGGTGCAATATAGTAATTGTGGAGCAGATGAAAAGGGATTCATGGTTCGCCTTTAAAAAAATATATAAATTCATAAAATATTTCATCATTTTTTATTCAATCTGCCAGAGGGATTTATTTGCAGACCCACCTTTTGTAGCAGAAATAGTTACTACTCCTTTGAGACATGCCTCTACCAGCTCTCCCTGCTACAGACTGAAATTTCTGCCTATTCTTCAATAGACCGATTGTTTAAATGCCATTAGACTGGTTATAGCGAATCCTCGAGGAAAAACCTTCTAGTCAATCCTTGGATTTTCAATTGGATTTATTTCTAAAGATAAGGCCATAACTAAACCGTTCCATTAAAGCTCTGGCTTTACATTTAGGGTCAAAGCTCTGCCGCAGGGTCATTTGCAACCACTGGAGGATTAGCTTCCAGGATTACCCTCTATTTTGCCCTGTCTATTTTCTTATAATCTGCATTAAGCCTCATCCCTGATAAAGAGGACCACCCCCACAGCATCACGCTGCCTTGGCCATATTTGACCTTAGGCATATCAAATTTAGGAGGATGCACAGTGTTAGTGGTAGTCATACAAAGTTTTCTTGCTTATGGGTGGAAAAAATAATAATAAATCGCTCGTTTGATATGTCCACTAAACAGCTTGTTGCAAACTACAAACCTAACTTGTTAAGATTTTTTTTTAAATTCTCTCTCTTTAAAGCAAACAATTTTTGCCATATTTAACAAATCCTCACTGCAGGTTTACACATTGGAGGTTTGGATCTTAGCAGCATCTAGTATATGAGGATAGAGAATAACTTACTATGTTTAGAGTTAGTGAGATTTTTAAATGAGATGCATATTACTTTTTCATAAACCAGCTACTTTAACTGATATTGCTCTGGATTTAATTGAATTAGATTTACATAATCTAAACTCAAATGCTCTTTACACAATCCAAATTTCTATTTTTGAAACGATTTCAAACGTAAATTAAATAAGAGGGTTGAATACTGCATATTATTAGATAAAAGAAAAGCACACTCTAGAAAAGGGAGATGAAATGGATAAACCCAGAAAGCATGAGGGTGGGTATATTCCTCAGATGTGCTGAGTCTGAGCTCAAAGTTACTGAAAAAAGATGAATGCCTAAAGATGAAGGACATGCAGTTAAAAGTGAGCTGAGAGATATCAGGAAAAAAAAAAAAGGGACCATAGGAGAGAACATTGTTCAGAGTTGAGGGTCCCTGGAGGCTTGGCTTTGACAACCAGTGACATCACCACATGGGAAAAAGGCCCCTGAAACCACAATTAAAACTTGTCTCCATGTGTCACTCCCTCTCTCTTTTGCACTGTGGCGTGGGAGACATCTATTAAAAGTATCTGCTGCCCTTTGGGGCTAAAAACACACCAATGCAGCCACTGAGGAAAAATGATGAGCCTGTTTATCCCGGTACAGACGGTAGAACACAATAAAACCGGATGGAAAATTATTAGCAGGGGGTGTAAATATAATCACCTGTTTATCTTTGTCAGTTCTCTGCCTAGGAGATACATTGCTACTGGAAGGTTACTTTGTACCAGCGCTCTATTTCTCCCTCAATCTGTGTCAGAGCACAGGGGAAAAAGAAAAATAAAGAAATTGGCAGATGAGAGAAAAATGAAAGGAGTAAAAAGAACGAGAAGGGAGCATAGGCGGATGTTTCTGCTCGTCAGGAGGTTTTTCTTTAAAACTGGCAAAAGAAAAGTGGTCATCTATTTGCAGCAATCAATTGAGAAGTTTTAAGCAAATTTGTTTTTCTATTTAGTCTCTCACCTGCAATTTTTTCTGTTAGTCAAACTTTCACTTGTTTAATAAAGCTACTCAGGTTCTAGTCCAGAATAAAATACAAGAACTCGTGTGACTCGTATCAACAAATCTTCTGGTTGCTCGAAAGATATTATGGTACAAATAAACACATTTGCTAATAATCTACAGCAGTGAAATAAAAAATGGGTCACTGATGAGGCCCTTTTCAACATAAATATATTCAAGTATGTTCAAGTAATCCATGAAATGTAAATAAGAGCTGACATATTGTGCCCTTTTCACTTATCCACCAAATCATATAGGGCCATGATAGATTGTTGGAGGGATGTGTTTGCATATATGCACCCTCTATGAACAATGGACATATTTGTATAAAGGGTAAAGCATCTTGAACTAAACTATCCTTTTATCCTAATAGAATCTATCTGCTTTAGATAAAACTGAAAACTAATTTAGCTGCAGGTTACTATATTATATTTTTTAGTAAAACATTTCTACTAAAACAACAAAAAGAAAAAAAACATCTCCAAAACAACAAATACTAATCATGAATCTTGGCTTCAATGATGTCCGGGAAATTATAAGCAGTAATCTAAACTTCAAGATGTGATACAAGAGAACTAGACTTGTTGTCGACCAGACGCTAGTTGATCTTTATCAATCAGGAAACACTTAAAAGGAAACAGCTATGTGCTCATATTTACAGTCAGTGAGGGAACTATAAGTTTTAGAAACCTGGACCCAAGTTTAACTTAATCACAGAGAAAGGAAGGCTACTAGATGTTACAAACCATAAGTATCACTGTTAGACATCTTCAGCAAATAGGTTGTTGGGGGTCATCAAGGCACAGAAAATGGAATTAAATTCTTAAACTGATAACATGAGAAGACTTTTTTTCTCCCCACTATTAGGAGATTCTAACGTAATTCTCACAATCGTGTTTTGCTCAGGAAATTGCTGACTTTGAAAGGAAAGACCCCACCAAGAATTTACTTCCATATCCACTCATGTACGTTACGTGTAGCTATAGCGATAACAGGAAGCTTCCGTATTAAACATTTGTCAGCTTGTGGAGAGAACCTGAAGGGACGTAAACATGGGCCAGTAGGGTGGCTCCGGAGCCGATGTTGTCAGAGGAGGAATTTAGCCAAATGTGTAAATACAAAAAGGCCTTTGGATCAAGCATGAGCAAGGAAAGAATCACACCCCGGGTGGACATTATAACCATCTTAGATCATGAAGGATTAGGAAATGTTGACAGCACACCAAAGCAGATAGACGAGGCCGTCCGTGTGGAACATTCTATTTATTTGACTTCCATTCTGTTGCTCAGGTGCATGTTTAGTAGTTTGTTGTTTTCCCTCAATGTAATAAAACACACATTTTTGTGCAAGTTGGATTGAGTCTCTAGTCGTAATGATTACAATAATAAAACGATAGTCAAAAATTAAGTTACCAAGAAATATTTTCTCTCATGCGGCAGCTACCTGCTAAACTCTAAATAATGTCACAGACTCTGCATCACACTGACACCACCAAACCAAAATCCTGCAGAGTTACACCTAATATATTTAATGCTCTGAACTTTCATATTGCTTATGGGGTTTTTTTGCACCATGTTTTTTCTTCCAAACTGTTTACACTTGATCACTGCTGCACTTTAAGAAATGGAGATGTCATGAAAGCTGTTCAAAACAAAATGTCGTATTGTATGCACTCTGTGTACAAAAAATTACATTAAGAGTTGTCGGAGCCTAGTGGTGAGCAAATCGAAGATTGCAGCTGAATGTTTGCTGCCAACACTATGGTGAGGTTTGTCTGTTTATCTGGTTTCCTGCTTATCAGATTTATTATAGTGCCAGCATTATATGTAAGGTTCAGAATACAATTGGCAGGAAAGCCAAATCTAATTATATCAGTGTTTTATTAATTTAGCTTTAGTGTCAAAGGAACAAACCATAATAAAAGCCTTATTGGGCATAAAGGTCTTCAAACGGCACCAAGATAATTCAAATAGCTTACAGTACAAGTTCTGCTGATAAAAACGCAATAGCCTAAATGCTAAGTTCTTGTTGCATTTAGGCTGACTGATATAAATTGATACAGAAGATGCAGTCTCTTGGTGATGGAATGATAAAAATATAACAAAAATTGCAGCTAAAACTGCTACGAATAATAATGGAAACATGAATCCTCAAATAAATTTGATAACTGTGATTAACAGGGAATTTGGTACAATCTTTTGACTGTTGCATTTACAACAACTTTAGCAGCAGTTGTTTAATTTTGAAGGTGAGATATAGCTTAAAGACTTGGGCCAACCAAAAAACAGCTAAATATTTCTAAAATGTATCATTTGCTTGCCACTATTTGGCAAAACTGGGCGAATCGGTTAAAGAAATGGTTAGAAATGCATGATATTGAGATTGTGAGTTTACTGAAAAGAAAAGTTAATAACATTATTTTATATTTTCCTCACATACAATGCCTTGGAAAGGTTTTATAATCTCTCTTTTCTGATCAGTTCTTTTTAAATACAGACTTTTGTGACATAGACCAACACAACAGGGGTTTATGCATGAATGGGTAACTCTTATTTAATGCTTTTTAATGCTCTTTTACTGCTCTTAGAAATAATCTTAATGCCATCAACAAGTA